TTATGATTTTTGTCGACTAGTACACTGGAATTAGCCGAAAATAGGGGTCAAAGTGGGCAAAATTGCCAATGCGTAAACATCGTCGCGACCGCTAACTTCGCGAGAGCATAATTCTGTAAGTTTTCCACCAAATTTCATGCTTTTGGTGTCATTATGATAGGGGAAAGGTTCTCTATCTTTTCATCAGATTTTTTTTTTTTTTTTTTTTTTTTTTTGAAATTTGGGGGACCCTGAGAACAAGTCTCAGAGAGGGCCTGTGGAACCTGAAAGGGTTAAGTATATTCTAACCTAACCACTCTGTAATCTAGCAAAATCACTAATCCGGCACCCTATAGGTCCTGATGGTGCCGGATTAGTGATGGTCAACCTGTGCCACTATAGTCGTCCACATTTCCTTCTTTGTCTCCTTGGATAGTATTGTGTGTCTCCACAGATACCTCAGTACACTACCCACATTTTTTCCTTCATTCCTTTGGGTTACATTCTCTTTCATAAACCCATCCTCTGACAAGTCTTCTCCCAAATATCTGAAAACATTGACTTCTTCCATACTCCCCCCCAATTTGATATCCAATTTTTCCTTATCTAAAATCGTTTGATGCCTTCATTACCTTACTCTTATCTATGTTCACTTTTAACTCTTTTCCTTTACACACACTCCCAAACTCATCCACTAACCTTTACAACTTCTCTTCAGAATCTCTCAAAAGCACAGTATTATTAGTAAATAGTAACTGTGTCAACTCCCATATAGTATTTAAATCTGCATAATTTAATCCCACCCCTCTCCCCAACACCCTAGCATTTACTACTTTTACAACCCTTTTACGAAGCAAGCACTGGAAAGCTGTGTCGTTGCTTTTAATCCTTTGAGGGTCCGTGCTGTAGATCTACGGCTATACGTTGAGGGTCCAAACCGTAGATCTACGCCATGAGCTCAGCTCACTCTGATAAGCTGTGAGCGGTAAATTTGGGCCTAGATATGAGAGAATACATCTATGTGGTATGTGCGCACCACATAAAACAAATCCTGCAGCTCACAGTGCATAATGAGATAAAAAAAAAACTGAGACTGTAATTTTTGATAAACCCTTCAGGGTCCAGAGGCCAAATTTCAAAGTGTGCACCAGGGTCCAAGAATTTTCCAAAAAAAATTTTGTTATTTTTTTCTTATGAAATGGTAGAGAATCTTTTTCTGAAGGTAATCAAACAAAAAGTACGAAATTTGATGGAAAATTGACGAAATTATGCTCTCGCAAATTTTGATGTGTCAGCGATATTTACGAATTGGCAATTTTGCTGACTTTGATTCCCATTTTAGGCCAATTACATTATTCCAGTCGACCAAATTCTTAGCTATTTCACTAGTATTACTTCTGTTCTATTGATTGAGCACAAGAAATCGCCAAGTCAACTGTTTCAACTACAAAATAAAGTGACTGGAAATTGGTAATTTGGCCAATTTAACACAGTTCAAAATATTCCAGTTTCAAAATAGGGTCCAGAATAAACAATGTAGGTATTCTTGGCACTAAACTAACATTTTCTTTGTTCATTAGTTATGTTTTGAGGCTTTACAAATGAATCCCATTTTGATTTTTTATTCACATAATGAATTTTTATTCAAACCAAAAAATAGAAGATTTACTGTTATGCAATATTGTAATAATTGTATAAATATCATCACCACATTTGTGAATGTATATTAGATCCACCAGCTGGCGTGTATTAGACGTGTGAGGTCGTTTGTTTACTTTTGAACAACGGCAAAAATTTAACATTTCCTCTACTTTGAGCTCAGTTTCAAGCCATTTCCAGTGCTAAAACCAATCAAAATCATCTCTTTTTCTGTAATATGTCTTCCATTCTATCAAATGAGACCAAGAAATCGCAAGTACATACAACTATAAAAAACATACGAAAAAACACTGCAAAGTCGCTGTTTTAACAAAAAATCACGGTCTCAGTTTTTTTTCTCTCATTATTCACTGTGTGCTGCAGGATTTGTTTTATGTGGTGCACACATACCACACAAATGTATTCTCTCATATCTAGGCCCAAATTTACTACTCACAGCTTATCAGATTGAGCTGAGCTCATGGTGTAGATCTACGGTTTGGACCCTGAACATAAAGCCGTAGATCTACGACACGGACCCTGAAAGGGTTAAAAAAGTGACTTTGCAGTGTTTTTTCGTATGTTTTTTATAGTTGTATTTGCGATTTCTTGGTCTCATTTGATAGAATGGAAGATATATTACAGAAATAGAGATGATTTTGATTGGTTTTAATAATGGAAATGGGTTGAAACTGAGCATAAAATAGCAAAGATGTTAAATTTTTGCTGATGTTCAAGAGTAAACAAATGATCCCACACATCTAATACACACCAGCTGGTGGGTCTAATATATGTTCACAAACGTGGTGATATTATTTATACAATTACTACAGTATTGCATAACAGTAAATCTTCTATTGTTTGGTTTGAATAAAAATTCATTATGTGAATAAAAAATCAAAATGGAATTCATTGGTAAAGCCTGAAAATGTAACTAATGAACAGAGGAAATGTTAGTTTAGTTCCAGGAATGCCTGCATTGTTTATTCTGGACCCTCTTTTGAAATTAGAATATTTTGAACTTTGCATTAAATTGGCCAAATTACCAATTTCCAATCACTTTATTTTGTAGTTAAAACAGTTGACTTGGCGATTTCTTGTGCTCAATCTATAGAGTAGAAGTAATAGTAGTGAAATAGCTAAGAATTTGGTTGACTGGAGTAATATAATTGGCCTAAAATGGGGGTCAAATTCGGCAAAATTGCTGATGCGTAAATATCGCCGACACGTCAAAATTCGTGAGAGCATAATTTTGTAAATTTTCCATCAAATTTCATACTTTTTGTTTTATTACCTTCAGAAAAAGATTCTCTACCATTTCATAAGAAAAAATAACAGAATTATTTTTTGAAAATTCTTGGACCCTGGTGCACACTTTGAAATTTGGCCTCTGGACCCTGAAAGGGTTAATGCCATTTCCTTTGTGTACCTTCAAGTATTGAAGCTAATTTTTCTAATGAATGAGGTTCAATAGGTATTTTATTTATGGTGTTTGATTATATGATTGCATTATTCATGTAATATACGTATATACAAAATAAGTTGGGCACATATTTGGAAAGCATATAAGCTACGTACATGTATATCTGAATGCCATTGTACCATACAGAACTCAGTTTTATAGCTAAATACAGCATAATGGAGTTTTTTGAGCTACTTAGTATACCTGGAGAGGGTTTTAGGGGTCAATTCCCCCACAACTCAGTCTGAAATAAGGCCTCGTGGTGGATCAGGGTCTGATCAACCAGGCTGTTACTGCTGGCCGCACACAAACTGATGGATGAACCACAGCCCTGCTGGTCCAATACTGACTTTAGGTGCCTGTCCAGCACCTTCTGGAAGACAGCAAGGCGCCTATTGGTAATCCCCCTTATGTATGCTGGGAGGCAGTTGAACAGTCTTGGGGGCCCCTGACACTTAATGCATTGTCTCTCTGTGTACTTGTTGCACCTGCCACAAGTACACTGGTTCTCTGAACCATTTGTCTGGATTCCTGTCAGATACAGCAACATCTTGGGATCTTAATACAGGGAATTCTTCACTTGCCTAACCTTTAGGCATGACTTTCTTCCACATTTGGATTTGTCAAATGTGATGCCACTTACAACTGCTGCACCTCACCTACCTACAGTATATAAGCCACTTCTTCACACATATGCTGTATTCTTTTCAAGATTGATGGACTGATTACATTGACTCAGGGCTGAGGGACTGATTACCTCAAACTCCTCCTGTTCTTTACCTTTCTTCTTTGTATGGACTGATGAAGCCACTGTGTGGCAAAACATTTCCTCATGAAGGATACCCAGGTGTTGCACATGTGTCTAATTTATCAACTTGTCTATGATTGACCTGTATACCTTGTACATGTACTTGCAGAAATAAAGATTATTGTTATTATTATTATTTTTATTATTATTATTTTTATTATTATTATTATTATTATTATTATTATTATTATTATTATTATTATTATTATTATTATTATTATTGTAGTTGTTGTTGTTGTTGTTGTAATTCACAATTCACTTACATAACTTTTTACTAGAGGGCATCTTGTGAGTAATTTTGGTTGTTCATGAGTTTTTTGGCAGTGCCATTCTTTTTATTTTATAGCTTGGTGCATGTTTCCTGTATTGAAAACTGACTGGAAAATTTTGTTCAAAACATGTTCATTGGCTTTCCCATGACTACATCTCTTGATCTTTTTAGGCATTCTTATGAATGTCAATAATATATTAACCAGATTAGTGTAATATTTGCACTTGTATTGTATAAATCTATAGGGGAAGGAAGGCGGGGTAGGGGTCGTCCTCGAAAGGGTTGGAGAGAGGGGGTAAAGGAGGTTTTGTGGGCAAGGGGCTTGGACTTCCAGCAAGCATGCGTGAGCATGTTAGATAGGAGTGAATGGAGACGAATGGTACTTGGGACCTGACGATCTGTTGGAGTGTGAGCAGGGTAATATTTAGTGAAGGGATTCAGGGAAACCGGTTATTTTCATATAGTCGGACTTGAGTCCTGGAAATGGGAAGTACAATGCCTGCACTTTAAAGGAGGGGTTTGGGATATTGGCAGTTTGGAGGGATATGTTATGTATCTTTATATGTGTATGCTTCTAAACTGTTGTATTCTGAGCACCTCTGCAAAAACAGTGATAATGTGTGAGTGTGGTGAAAGTGTTGAATGATGATGAAAGTATTTTCTTTTTGGGGATTTTCTTTCTTTTTTTGGGTCACCCTGCCTTGGTGGGAGACGACCGACTTGTTGAAAAAAAAAAAAGTATTTATTCTGAGTATGAAAGGAACGGTGTATTTTAGGCTACTTCTAGTGAAATGTGTATGATGTTTCCTGTTCTTTAATTTGTGACTTTTTTCCCATTTCAGATAATCTGCCACAAGAAACAGGAAGACTGACAAAACTGGAATCACTCTCTCTGGTGTCAAACCTTATTGTTTCCCTGCCAGCATCAATGTCTGATCTCAAGCACCTTAAATCAGTCATACTCAGGTGATACATTGAAATTCATTTATAATATTCTCTATCATGTTTGATATTTACTTTTTATTAAAGTTCTTGCTTTCTTTCTTTTAGTGGAAAAGAAACTGTAATACAGTTTCTTCTAATATTTCAAACAGCTTATTCTTGTATCCCATTAATTATCAAGAATGGGATATAATATCTGATAATGTTCAGTATTTTTTGTACTTTGAATTCCACTTTCTTGTAGTTCATATGTATATATACTGTATATACTATGGAGAATCTCTACAAATAGATATGTAATAAAAGCTTTTATTCAAAGGTATACATTTATTGCAAAATTTGGTGATGTTTATTTAATACATTTTGGAAAGCCCCTGGTTATGAAATGCATTTTGGACAGAATGAAACTTGAACTTTCAGTTATTTTGACATTGTATAACTGTATAATTGAAATTAGATTGTGTAAGTGCTAAGTTAATATAAATAAGTATGAATATTGATATATGTAATGATTATTTTAGGTAATAAAGCTATATATTAAAACAGAAATGTAATATGAAGAGATAGCAATACAAAAGTATAGTGGTAATTTTAGACTTCAGTTACAATAATTATTGAAGAGTGGATATATTGTGGTGACAATAAGTGCAGGAGTATGAATGCTAGTTGAACTCCAAATAAATATAGTATTACACATTTATGTTAAATAAATAAGAGAGGTGCAGTATTTTTAATGCAGTTGATTGAGAAGGAACGTTTTGCACCTTCTGATAGTGTATTCCATATATTTGGGCCTCTTTTTATTTTCATGAAGTTCTTTTTGGGTTGAGTCAAACACATGAGATATCAAGGAGATACCTGTTTCTTGTATTGTGTTTATGCATTCTGTTGCAGCTCTCCAAGAAGAGTTTTAAAACAGGATTAATATTGTATTATTGGTATTGATTGTTCTGCATTTATATTATGTACTGTAGTAAGTGTAATTTTTTTATGTTGAGTAAATTTAAACATTTGAATAATGGGGATGTGTGTTGTCTGGACCCTGATTTAATGATCATTCTGACAGTAGACTTTTGTTAAGTTACGATGGGTTTTAGGTGATTTGCTGTTGTGGATCCCCATGCACATATACCATGAGTGAAGTAAGATTAGATTATGAAGTGGTATAGAGTGAGTAATGTTGTTTATGGTGCATACTAATGTAGTTTTGGAAGAATGGCAACTCTTTTTATAAATTTTCTTAGATATGTACTGGATGTGAGTGTTGAATCTAGGTAGTAGGTTGGTAGACAGCAGCCGCCCAGGAAGGTACTACTATCCTGCCAAGTGAGTGTAAAATGAAAGCCTGTAATTGTTTTACATTATGGTAGGATTGCTGGTGTCTTCTTTCTCTCTCATAAACATGCAAGATTTCAGGTACGTCTTGCTACTTCTACTTACACTTAGGTCACACTACACATGCATGTACAAGCATATATATACATACACACCTCTGGGTTTTCTTCTATTTTCTTACTAGTTCTTATTCTTGTTTATTTCCTCTTATCTCCATGGGGAAGTGGAACAGAATTCTTCCTCCGTGAGCCATGCATGTCGTAAGAGGCGACTAAAATGCCGGGAGCAAGGGGCTAGTAACCCCTTCTCCTGTACACATTACTGAAGTTAAAAAGAGAAACTTTTGTTTTTATTTTTGGGCCACCCTGCTTTGGTGGGATATGGCCGGTTTGTTGAAAGAAGAAGTGAGTGTTGAATTTTTGTTTGTTGTCAAGGTGTATATCTAAGATTTTTTCATTATCTTGTTTTGTAATGTATTATTTATCTTTATGTTCAATTGAATATTTTTAGTTTTAATCCCAAATGCTATATGAAAGGTGTTATCAGTTTTGAGTGTTTGTTGACTCATCTGAATACAGATCAGGGTTTGAGATGACAAGACTTATGTCATCTGCAAGTGGCAATTGGAGGCATTAGGTAGGATATTGATGTAAATAAGGAGATTGTAGGATGTTGCAGTGTGGTACCCACTATGCTGATGCATCAGGTCGATGAGGTATATATTGTGATTAATGGGCTCATGGTATCTATAAGATAGGATTTTATGCATGTGAGAGCATGGCCTCTGATTCTGGTTTAAGCAGCAGTATGTTGATCTGCTGTATCAAAAGCCATTCTTAGATCAATAAAGAGGCCCCCCATTGTATATATATTTTTTTCTAGAGGTGAATAAGTTGAGGGAAGAATTTTTATAATGCTTCAGTATCATACTTTTACCTGGTTTGAAACCAAAATTGCAAAGGTTAAGAATATTATGTTTACATCATGAATTCCTGCATTTATGTACAGTAATGTTTTTTATGATGATAATGGCAAGTTAAAAATTGGCCACCTGTTGGTGATTTCTCTTGTATCTTCACCTTTGTTGAGTGACGTAACCCTTGATAACTTAAGCACGTTTGTGAAAGTTTTTAGTTTCTGAAGATTTGTTGAACAAAATTAAAGCAGTAGGTGATAGCTCATGAGAACCTTTTTTATATATAAATGGTGGAATATTGGCTTCGTTTCCTGTTTAATTTTTTAGTAAATTTATTATTGAATTTAACTCTCTAGAATTAGCTGGATGTAGTGCAGATGACAAGAAAGAGATGATTGTGGATGTTAGGAATGAAAAGAAGCTGGATGTTCTGGCTCTAAGTAAAACAAAGCTGAAGGGAGTAGGAGAATTTCAGTGGGAAGAAATAAATGGGATTAGGTCAGGGGTTTCTAATAGTTAGAACTAAGGAAGGAGTAGCAATAATGTTGAAGGATCAGTTATGGTAGGAAAAGAAGGAATATAAAAGTATAAATTCAAGGATTATGTGGAGTAAAATAAGGGTGGGAAGTGAAAAGTGGGTTACAGTAAGTGTTTATGCACCTGGAGAAGAGAGAAGTGTAGAGGAGAGAGAGAGAGAGAGAGAGAGATTTCGGGAGGTGTTGAGTGAGTGTGTGGGGAACTTTGAACTAAGTTAGAGAGTATGTACTTGTGGTAGGGCACCTAAATGCTATAGGGGGTAAAAACTGTTGTGAAGGGAGTAGTAGATAAGTTTGAGGTGCCAGGGGTAAATGAAAATGGGGTACCTTTAACCCCTTAACTGTCCAAACATAGATCTACATTGTTACCACTAGCGCTCCAAATGTAGATCAGTGTTTTATTTTTCCTGCCTCCAAATTTGGCACAATTGGCCTGAGATGCCTGGTCAGTATAGAATGGGTTTTAACACTTGGTGTGCACAGTATTAAAAAAATCTGGGACCACTTAATACTTAGTGGGAGCATCAGTTCAATTGAGTGCCAGCTAGAGCAAACAGCATGGAAAACACCAGAGATTCAGTGATGTCATGTCATATTAACCCCTTGACTGTTTCGGTCGTATATATACTATATATACGTCTTACGAGCCACCGTGTTTGACGTATTAAAATGCATAAATTCTAGCGGCTTCAAATCAAGCAGGAGAAAGCTGGTAGGCCCACATGTGAGAGAATGGGTCTCCATGGTCAGTGTGCACCATATAAAAAAAAATCGGGGAGCCAGTGGTGCATTGTGGGAATGCTATTTCAGTAGTCCTTGTTCAGCATGCCTAGAGGTAAGAAATATGTGACTCCCCGGCAGATCTGGGACTCTACTCTTCCAAAGTGATGCTCTAACACAGATGGAAGTGTCAGTAAAGATCAATTTCATGGTTTTGAGGAGTTTGTGACCAGAAGCAATGCCCAGGATACCAGGAAGAATGAAGAATGAAGGAGAATGAAGAATGAAGGAGAATGAAGAATGAAGGAGAATGAAGAACGAAGGAGAATGAAGAATGAAGGAGAATGAAGAATGAAGGAGAATGAAAAATGGAGAATGAGGGAGAAAGATAATTAGATGGGATGGAGGGGAAGGGAGCATTTGACCCCATTGTTTTGACAGGTGGTAAGGGGAGTGAGTAATGAGACTATATGTCATTTTGACAGCTGCAGACCCTGACTCAAAACAATTAGGAGCTACATACCCACACACAACACAAGCTTGCTGAATTAAGATAATGGCCCAGGATACCAGAAGAGTGAGGGAGAATAAAGAATGAAGGAGAATGAAGAATGAAGGAGAGAGAGAGAGAGAGAATGAGGGAGAAAGATAATTAGATAGGATGGAAATAAATGGTATCAAATACCGACACAGTGAAAATATAAACACATATGCAGTATAATGTGTTCCTTTATTGACAACGTTTCACCCACACAGTGGGCTTTTTCAAGTCACACACAGATCTACCTGGGGTGGAAGGTACGGGAGTATTTATAGTCATGTTCAGAATGTTGAGGTCAGGTGGAGAATGCTGCATCTGATGATCTACTGGGTGGAGTTATAGAGTATTGGGTAGCTTGGCAGGGGTATTGGACAAGTTGTGAGTAGACCTTCTGCAGTGTTCTGTGTTCTTATGTGGGATAGCGATGAAGAAGTTTCTTGGCGAGTGGTTCAGCTATGTTATAGAAGCCGTTGTTCTGGTTGAAATTGTTGGTTATAGTGATAAGCGATGATTCCAGGATTCTTCGGTATTGAGTGTTGTCTTCTGTGGCGATAAGTCTTGAGTTTCTGTAGTTAATAAAATGGTTGTGTGAATTGCGATGTTGTACACAGGCATTCCTTGTATCGTCAGTCCTGCTTGCATATTGGTGTTCTGAAATACGTGTTTGGAGGTCTCTTGATGTTTCGCCCACATATAATTTGTTGCAGTCATTACAAGGGATTATTTATACCCCTGCAGAGGATGGAGGCTTGTCCTGTCTACTACTGGTGATGTCCTTGATGGTCGTGGTTGTGGAGGTAGATACTTGGAATGATGTATTGGAAAAGATGTTGGAAACATGTTTGGCAATGGAGTTGCCTTTATCTAAATACTGTTCACATATATGCTTCAATGTAAACACTTGATCTACACATCCCCTACCCACTCTGAAACCTCCTTGCTCATCCGCAATCCTACATTCTGTCTTACCTCTAAC